TATTTCAATTGAAAATGTCAAAAATTCAGTTTCTCAAGGTTATGTTATGATAGGATAAATGACTGAATTTTGTGAAAAAGTATTTTTAAGCGAATGAAATCATTACTAGGTATTATTATTATTTGTTAAAAATTGCTTGTTTCATGTTTCACAGGCTGGAAACCTACAGAACACAAGCATTGCATGTAAGATATGGATATTATTGACTACTGTGAATTACATTTGAAGTGGGGATGCTGTTTTGCAATATACTAAATTTCAGAATATAAAGTCAATTTCATTGTAATGTGTGCTTACATGAAATTTTTTTATGTCTGAATAGAAAATTCCAGTCTAACTCTAATAGCGTTAAATTGAATAGTAAGAAAGTCATTTGAAATTTTATTAAACCCAGTAGAAATTTAATGCCATCTACTGAAAAACGTTATTACCCATTATTTACATACATTTTTTTACCTTATTTATTGTACCTCTTAAAAATATTCCTTATTTAGGTGTTTAAAGGAAGTGAATTCTTAATAGTAAAACCTAATTTTCTTACATCGAAAGTTAACAAGATATTTATGAATGAACATTATCAGTGCATACCATCCATACTAAGTGGCGGATGACTAATTGCGCGGCCTGTAAGCTTAGAAAAATTTGTGGGACTTTAAGTGATATAACTTTCTACCAAAAATTTCAGTCTTTTGACGACGTTTCCGTTTCTTATGCTCCATTGCCTTTGCTTCAGTTTTGTTACTCATAGTGTAAACATTATAGAATAAATTTAAATTTCGAACGAGATAAACTCACTACTTTATGAGTTCTATACATAGAGCAATATAATAGTATATCGTACAGTTTCCAACAGGATATATTATTGAAAATTTGAACATTTATCTCATCTAGAATGGCAAAGAGTAAAAACTATGTTTAAAGAGAACAGGACTTTTAAAAACGCGGGAATGTAAGCTTCAGCCTACATAGCCTACTGAGTAATCGGACAACGGCCATATTTGTCTGTTCTTGGAATAAGTTCATAAAGCTACAATCCATTTATTGAAGACATTTGATGTAATATTATCGAGGTGCACTCATTCTAGGAGGTCTGGAAGCATGTCTGTCAAAATGCTTTTTAAAGTTTGGGTTTACAGAATTCTTAGTTTACGAAAGCCAACCAATAAAAAACTCAAGACTGTCTAATATGGTGTATCGAGGTTAGCAGGGCCATAGCTAGATTACTAACTTCACGAGGAGTGTTAAACCTAAACTTAACCCTTACCCTAACCCTAACCCTTGCCCTAACCCTAACCCTACTCCCTCCTTAATGTAGAGAAAATCAAAATGTGTTAATTGTGAAAATCAAAATGTTGCCGCTGGCGCACTTCACCTTGAGAAAGCGTCGTTACTAGCGCACCTCACAGTTTGAGAAGGAGTATACACAAATCTAAGCGCCCCAGCCCTCGCTTACGTACTTCTTGTAAATATGCTAGCATAATTACAGCGAAGGTCAAACCAGGACAACGGCAGAAGACGGCTGGCCGTCGGGGTCTATTATTTAGAAGTAGCGTATAATAGGGTACGTGGTAAGATGAATAGTGAATCCAAAAGAGTACGTATGAAAAGACAAGAGCAAAAATAAAGAAGAGAAAGAGAGAAAAAATTGAATAATATAATAATAAGACAAAGACAAGAACATCTTAAATTACAAACCAGGCTGCTAATACAAATAGGTACGATACAATTAGAAGAATAATATTTATATATTATATAGAATCGAGATGGATACTGTTAGAGAGATTCTGCAACTATATAAACAGGGTGTTATAAGTGGAAGAGCTCTAAACTCACTCCTTGAAGCTTTTTAACCACTAGAATCTACATCAAGAAAGCGTACGAATACAGCTCCACCTGAACTTCCTTCGGTACCCTGTAAGCGCAGACCTATTAAGCCTAATGACGTAATAGAAAGTAGACCGCCTGTTATAACAAACTCTGTAGGTTGGGAAGTTACGTATGGAAATATGAGCGACCCAGCGTTAATACGTTATTACGCACTTCAGTTTCTAAGTGCAATTCCTCCAAAAACTAAAACTCAGACGCCTCCGGCGGCCGGTTCACTCCCTTTGCCAAACGTGAAGTGTTCTTATTCAGTTCTAGATAATAAAGGAAAGCCTTCTTAATCATCTAGCGCTTCGTGTAGCAAATCTTCATCAAACAACCGTTGAATATTCGGGTATTATACTTTCTATAGTGAGTGTGATAATTACTCTAGCAGTTCCCATCTGTTGAACAACTAATGTTGCATCAGTAGGTAAGTCTACATCTATAAAATCGCTATAGCTACATTCAAAGTTAATATCACCAACACGATGTGTTTTTGTTTTACTTAAGACAAGTAATTTGCTAGGAGTTTGAAGTACTCGTAACGTTCCTGCACTTGTAAAACATTTTCTAATTAATGATATTCTGTAGAATGCAGCGGTTTCGATGGTGATTGTAAAAGAATCTTCTTCACCTTTTTCACACATTTTACCAGTGACTGAAGTACCAACTTGAGTGTACACACCTACTGCAATTTCTAGTCGCTTTTTGTGTTTTTCACGTCTTCTATGATGTTTTACACGATGGTCGTGGTAGTTTTGCCGGACTTAGCAAAGCTTTGAAAGCCTCACGCGTAGGTTTATCTACGTCTGAATACTTCGAAGAAGATATGACTATTTTTTCAGCCTAGACTTATCTTCTTGTTGGAATTTTTCAAAATTTTTCTCTCTATTTTGTCGTAAGTATACTTCTACTGCTCGGCGAAAGAGATCGTTTGTTGATTCAAATTCATGAACCGAAGTTTCAGCTGCGTTAGACATTTTAATGTTTGTGTGACAAGACACCGTTAAAGATTATACTGTATAACTATACGAAAAATAGAACGATAGTTCGTATTCATATATATAGTTCAGTTTTAATTAGTCACGTGATATTTTGTATATATAAACTATTGACATTCCTCTGAGTCATTCGTTACGATTATAGTTTTGTATTAATCTTCCTATTAAATTAGCTCACTACATTAAATAAATGTTCACTCAAACCGAACAATTTTGCTAAATATTAACAGACACAACTGAAGTCCTGAGAAGGACTGTTTTTGATGTTGTTGACTGACGTTTCGACAACCTTAGCGGTAGTCAAACATATAACGATACTCCCGGGTTCAAACCATTTACTTTAGACACAACTGAAGTGATAAACACTATAAATATAAAGTGAAAATTTATTGTTTTAGAATTAAGAATACTCTAAATAGTGTACCTCATATCTTTGCGTCCAGTTAATGGGTATTGTACTAACATATGACA